TTCAGCAGATACATGTACAATGACTCATTCCCAAGATACATGATTTACAAAGGGTGGTTACTGTCTTTAAAAATGTGTAACCAGAAGAGAGGCCTTTTAAGGTAGGAAAATGTTCTGGTCTGGAAACAATACAGAGTTAAACTCAAAGAAGCTCACAGGGAAGATGATGAGTGTGGCATACTGATCTTCAAAGAAATGGGAAAAAGAAATTGCAAATTGCTATAAATGTACTTGGCATTTATCCAGAAGAGGTGCTCCTTTGGAGGGAAAGAAATAGGTGAGACGAGAAACTGGAAGAGAGTATGCAATGTATTTTCATTCCCCATGGTAGTTCCCCAAGAAAGCACAAGGACAGAAGGGGCAGCACCTTGTAAGGAACCGTGGACAGGGTTCAGATTGCCAGGGTAGGGACCTATTTTCCACCATGTGTCAAAAGCCCAGTTAAAAGAGTCAGCATGAAGTGCTAGACAGGGTGAGAAGTCCGTTTTGCTGTCTCTGTTAATTGCCTTGTAAATATGCTAATAAATACTTCCAGTAGTTGCTCCCTGCGATGCTTTGGGTCTCTGTTTTCGGTTGAGCGTGCTCCTCTGCTTCAGGTTTGTGGTGGTCCAAGACTGCTTTGTTTAGCTTATGATACCTGCTTCCTTACGCATGTTTAGTTACTGTCAGTAGGTGGGCACAGAACATTTTTCAACAGTGAAATTAACAAACTCTGTGTAGGACCATGATGCAGTCTGTGAATTCATCATGAGCCTGACTGACTCTAAAACGTCACCCCTCAGGTGACCCCTCCTCCCACACTCCAGCCCAGGGGCTCAGGACACCATTTTGGCTCAACCGATACGTTGATTTCCTGGCTTGACCTTGGACCTGCCCTGATGATCTGGATGCTTGGCTGAGCCAGGCTACTGACTGCATCTTCCCTGCTGGTGTTAAAAGTCTCACATGGCAGCTAAATTACAGCTAATTGCTAATAGCTAATTGAAATAGCTTTAAGAAAACTAAAACCCATGTGAACTTCCCCTTGTTTTAAGCTTTTTTTGTCAAGGAAAACCTGCACCAGTGTTGTGAGCTTCCCAAGCGAAGTTAGGTGAGGAACATAGCAACAGTGTCATACAAGAAGTGATTTTGTAATGCAGTCCAACGGATGAATTGCTGAATGCAATTTCCTTTTAAGCTTTCAATCAGAGTAGCCACCCACAAAACCAGAAGTTGAAAATAAGACTTGGATAAATATAATTGCTATGTACGTTTCCTGGATTATTTAACCACTGTGGTTAAAATTGAAATGGGCTGGATGGGTGCTTTATACCTTGCTCTTTGAGGTTATAAACTTCTTGTGTAGTGAGCTCTTTGGCAGGCAGATGAGTTTTCACTGCATGATCTGCACAGAATACAACATACTTGTCTGCGATCAATTAATACAGCAGTAATTAGATTTGTTATACAATTAAATTACATGCATTTTCAAAAGTAGTTTCCCAATTCACCAAGTAACATTTTCCAGCTCCCAAAGCATGAATATCCCCTGTGATTTCCCTGTGCTTCCCTACCACACTTGGACATGCTGTGAACGTTGTCAATTCCCAATGGATTCATGCTATCCCTAATTCTGTAGCTGATGGAAAAGTGAAGATTTTCATTCAAAAGAATTGACTGGTACAGGTAAATAAACCCAGCTGGTGAGAAATAGTCAGTAGCTGGAAGTTTTGCACAATGCTGAACTCCAGGGGAATAACAGAAGTTTGTGGGAGCTTAATTTCCTGCCCTGCAAATCTGTGGCCTCTTCCAACAGCAAGTCTAAAATAAAGTCAGTCCCCGTTTCAG